CTCCCCATTCAGTCAGTTGCACATGCCTTGTTTCAATCTGTTCATTGCAGCACACACATCGTCTGTCTGTCCATTCGCTCTGGGTTGATTTTCTCTCCCCACCCCCTGTTTTTTTCACAGCAGTGGTCTTGTAACTGTTGTGACGGAGTCGTTTCTCTCAGCAAGCCATCCTCTGGCCTCCCCACGGTGTGTAGTGCTCCATTGTTTTCAGAGCTGTGGGCTTAATGCAGACTATCGGTGCCTCAGATCAGAATCCTCCCAGGATATGGTCCTCTGCCCCCTCTGGCCTGGGGTCTCCGTTCCCAGCCGCCCTTCTTTCCAGTGTGTGTTCCCATCATCCCTGGAGGGACAGGCAGGTGATGTCCACTTACCTGCTCTTTTTGCGTTTGCAGCAGCTGCTGGCCCTCCGGTCTGCGTGTCCTGGAGGCAGCCTGGAGAGCGAGCCCTGTGCCAAGCACTGTCCCTGTGTGTTCTCCACAGGAGTACCAGCCCTGCAACACCAACCCCTGCCCCGAGCTGAAGAAGACCACGCCCTGGACGCCCTGGACACCTGTCAACATCTCGGACAATGGTGGTCACTACGAGCAGCGCTTCCGGTACACGTGCAAGGCCCGCCTGCCAGACCCAGGCCTGCTGGAGGTCGGCCGCCAGCGGATCGAGATGCGGTACTGCTCCAGCGATGGTACCAGCAGCTGCTCCACGGACGGTGAGTGGGCTGGGGGAGGCACACCCGCCGCTCCATGCCACTACAGCCGGGCATCCCCTTCCTGGCACTGTCCTCCCAGCTGCTCCACGGACGGTGAGTGGGCTGGGGGAGGCACACCCGCCGCTCCATGCCACTACAGCCGGGCATCCCCTTCCTGGCACTGCCCTGCCCTGCCAGTGGTCAGTGCCACTGTGGTCACTCTTCCTGTGGACATTCAGTTATGCGCGGGGTTGGCCCTGAGAACCAGCTCTCAAAATAAGAGAGTGCTGGCATGGGATCAGGAAAGCTAGTGTGAGGTGGACTTCTGGTTCTGTGCCATTGAGTCAGAACCAACCCATAACTGGCCCTGCAGTGCGTTTTCAGAGGCAGCAAATCAGACAGGAGGAGATTGCCCATCCTTCTCTCAGGGAGCAGCTTCTGGACTTGAACCGAGTGCCTTCAGGATAACCGTGTGGCTTCATACCACTAGGTCAACAGCACCAGCGGTCCCCTGAGGGGTACTAGGAGCCGAAAGCATTCCCTGTGTGCTCAGATATCCTCAGGAGTCCCCCCGGGCACCGAAATCTAAACTGCAAATGCCCGTCTCCTTTATTTCTGCCCGAGTCCTTGAGGGACGCAGCTAGTGAGTACCCTCAGCTGCTAACAGAAAGGCCGGGATTGAAGTCCATTCCCGGCCATCTCAGAGGGACGCTGGCCATCACCTTGTGAAGACTGTGGAGCACAGTTGCACTTTATCACATGTGCGTCAGAATCAGTTAAGTGGCTGCAGGAGTTCTGTTTATTTATCCCTAAACTTTACCAAACAAGATGCCTGATCCAGGGACTTGTTCCTCTTGAAAACATATGCAAAGTACATGAGATCTACATTTGTTCTCATTCCAAAGAAAGGTGACCCAGCAGAGTGTGGAAACTATAGAACAATATCATTGATTTCACATGTAAGCAAAATTCTGCTGAAGATTATCCAAAAATGACTGGAACAGCACATCAGCAGAGAACT